TAGAAGAATTGGCACACAGGATCACACAAAGAAGGTGTAATGAAGATTGATCCGAACTAGGGAATGCAACTGTTTCAACAGAAGGATATATTGAAGCTATAAACTCACTGCTAAAATATATTGTTTTCATTTCAACACCACCTAAGGTTCTTAAGATCAGTAACAATTGATGAAACAATTCATTCTAATTATTTTAAATAAGAACGTAAAAATAGTATAAACAATGTATTTATTTAACTATTTGCATTACTGAGTTGATTTTTAGTTCTGATCTGCTTAGGTAATTTCCTTTGATCAGAAGTTAATATTAACTAATATTGTTGAAAAGATGTTAGAGCCATATATTTATCAATAACATTAATTGTTTTCATACTTTTTCAATTAGCTTTCCATTGGCACAGTGATATGCCTGCGCACTTACAATGCTAAGAACCGGGTTTCGATAACTATGGTGGGCAGAGTACAGACAGTCCATCGTGTAGTTCTGTGCTTAACTATAAACAAACGTTTTAGATTAAAGTATATAGATTAAAAAAATATTGTAATTTAAATAATTATGAAGTAAAATGAATTAAGTTTTTTTCACTCCTCAAATTAGTTGATAAAAAAATAAGTCTATAATCTGCAAAAAACAAGTTTTATTCATGTTACTACCAGTTTCTATTGCAATGAAAAAAGAGGGGCCAAGCTTACCCCAATTGTGTTTTTGTAATGTTTCGTTTTTATATACTTATACATCATTATATAACTGTCTTTTTTTGTAGATTATAATATTACAAAACGCGGATCTCTTTCATAGTTATCACATATTTATATAGCTGGTCTTTTTATTCTTACTTGGCTGTTTTTTCACACGAAAATTGTTTTGGTCAGATATATTTATCACAATTCACAAGATCTTGCTAAACTAAAGAGGTACGCGTTATTAATAAAGCAGGCCCAAGAGAAATAACTAAATATTTGTTTCATAATGAAACCAAAACCTAATTGTATGTGTTTAAAGACTACCTATTAATCGAAGGCATTGAATAAAATAGAACTATACAAAATAATTAATGAAATAAATATTTTAATGTGGTTGTTTGGCATGTAAATATTCTTATTTTATGTGATTCAATGTGATTTTAATCCTATCAATATTTTTTCCAGATCATTAGTGCAAGATGTTTCTAATTCTTTATTTCTGAGTTATTTGCTTAGTCACTGGATGAAGTCAGACATACTGGTGACACGAATATAGGTGGTGTTCAGTTTAAGTGTATTGAAAATGACAGTGGAGGTTGAGTAGCATAATCTTTATGGCAGAAGTAAATCAATTACCAGTTGCAAATGTTCTCCTACAAAATGTTTTCAGAGTTACTCATAGATGAATGTTGATTTTCATTATGAGTTTCACACTCAACTAAATATTTGTTTCATAATGAAACCAAAACCTAATTGTATGTGTTTAAAGACTACCTATTAATCGAGGGCATTGAATAAAATAGAACTATACAAAATAATTAATGAAATAAATATTTTAATATGGTTGTTTGGCATGTAAATATTCTTATTTTATGTGATTCAATGTGATTTTAATCCTATCAATATTTTTTCCAGATCATTAGTGCAAGATGTTTCTAATTCTTTATTTCTGATTTATTTGCTTAGTCACTGGATGAAGTCAGACATACTGGTGACACGAATATAGGTGGTGTTCAGTTTAAGTGTATTGAAAATGACAGTGGAGGTTGAGTAGCATAATCTTTATGGCAGAAGTAAATCAATTACCAGTTGCAAATATTCTCCTACAAAATGTTTTCAGAGTTACTCATAGATGAATGTTGATTTTCATTATGAGTTTCACACTCAACTGTGCTGTATTAGATTTTTTTTTTAAGCTAAGCCTTTTCATTAAGTTTGGTTACATTATCTATCATTTTCTGTGGAGTAACATGAGAATAGTTCTTACTCATTATAAGATGAATGTTGATCTTCATTATGAGTTTGGGTTTTCTTTCAAGCTAAGCCTTTTCCTTAAGTTTGGTTACATTAGTTATCATTTTCTGTGGACTAACATGAGAATAGTTCTTACTCATTATAAGATGAATGTTGACCTTCATTATGAGTTTCACACTCAACTGTACTATATTAGGTTTTCTTTCAAGCTAAGCCTTTATAAGATGAATGTTGAACTTCATTATGAGTTTCACACTCAACTGTACTATATTAGGTTTTCTTTCAAGCTAAGCCTTTGTAAGATGAATGTTGATCTTCATTATGAGTTTCACACTCAACTGTACTATATTAGGTTTTCTTTCAAGCTAAGCCTTTTCCTTAAGTTTGTTTACATTATCTATCATTTTCTGTGGACTAATATGAGAATAGTTCTTACTCATTATAAGATGAATGTTGACCTTCATTGTGAGTTTGACACTCAACGTTGATATATTAGGGTTTTTTCGTCAAATTATAATGTATGTTTATCAAATGTTCCAGTTTATTTACTATTGTCTTCATCTATTCACAATGTGCTGCTAAACTTTTGTTCAAGAAGTTTAATGCAGTAATACCTGATAACATTAGGAGAGTACTCTGAAGTTTCTTTATTTTAGAATAATATCTATTATGATCTTTAAAAATGTTCATAATTAAGAATATAACAGATAATAACATTCCAGTAATTATATTTTAGATCTTTTTTTACTACTTTTATTTTAAATGGTTTCTACTGCTTAAAGTTTTCATAGTTGATTTTTTTGTGATGCTCAGATGTTTATATTCTGAAATTGTTATGTTGTTGCAATTAAAACAGCTTATCCATCATGTATAAATGTCTTTACTTTCCACGGGTCTTTCGTGATAGTGAAAAGGATCTACAACACCCCAGTCAATCTATATAATTACTAACCGCCCTTTTAAAAGGAAGAAAAATCAGAACGTGAAAACTCGGTCAGACACGTGTGCGTATAAAAGTAGACTCACGTAGATATTGAACTTGAATAATGCTTGAATTGGATCTTACTATTGAAGAAATTAAATTATAATAACCATGCTTATATAATGTCCATTGTTCTCACAACCACATAGACACCTTGTTCACAAGAAATTCCATTTATTGCTAATGCACTTTATTTAAAATACCTCCCCTACAATTTATATCAGTCAGGGTTTTCTATAGAATCACTTCTCTATTGTACTATCATAAGAACCAATCAGCAAAACATTCCCTCAACACCAAAATTGTGAACCAAGTGTGTTTCAGGACTCTCCACTTGTCACCGGTTTCGGGAAATTCAATTCCAGATCATCAACCCCGAACAACAGGAAACTGAGCAACAAAATCAGGACACTAATAATTCAGATCTGCATTTTACATGCATAATATTTTGGTTTTCTTTTATTTATCACAAGTAGTGTGTATTTGAAGAACAAGTGGGATTCATGCTACTAACTTAGTAGGGAGCTCGACTCGCAATCTGAGTGGCGCGAGTTCGAATCCCTGTACCACCAAACATGCTAGTCCTTTCAACAGTGGGGGCGTTATAATGTGATAATCAATCCAACTACTTATTGGTAAAAGAGTATCCCAAAAGTTGGCGGTGGGTGATGATGACTAGCTGCCTTCCCTCTAGTCTTTCACTGTTAAATTAGGGACGGCTGGCGCAGATAGCCCTCGTGTAGCTTTGCGCAAAATTCAAAAAACAAACCAACTAACTAATTTAGTAACATTATTCCTTCTTTTTGTTTCAGAAACCTGTATGGATACAGACAACTTGTGATAAATAAAAGACAATCGAAACAGTACACAGCAAAAAAAAGGACATTTTGTTCCTTCAAGAAAATACATCTGTTACTTCAAGAAAGTACGTTCTGTCTCCACAAGAAAAGACATTCTATTGCATGAATTCACAAGATGTATGTACGATATAACTTACCTTTCATAAATCAAATGGCGTGAAAGAATATATCTCATATTAATAAAATTCTCGAACTTTTCATTTCGGTACACTACTCAGTAGCATTTTGTTTCATTTCTTTTATAAAATATGTTTATGTATGTCTATACATCTGTATGTCGATCCACAGTAATAATAAAGTGTTGAAGACAGAAAACAAACAAACAAACAGAGAATAAGAGAGAATGAAACAGCTACAACGTTTGAAAAAAAATCCAATGTCTCTATGACAACGATTCCAAGAGGTTTCACTTTTGCAACGTAGCTTTCTCAGTTGGTAAAAGAGAACAGAAATGTATCTTTGTTCTAAGTCATAATGTCAGTAGATTGAAAATACTTCTTTAAAAGTTATCTTCTCGTTAAGCAAGATTAAGGTCTAAACAGTCAAAGAATATGTAAGAAGGTACCTTGTTTTATGTGATGAATAAAAACCCTATAACTCTGGTTATAGGGTTTCTATTCATTTCTATCAATACTTCTTGTTTGTTTGTAATTAAGCACAAAGCTACACAATTGGCTATCTGTGCTCTGCCCACCACTGGTATCGAAACCCGGATTCTAGCGTTGTAACTCCACAGACATACCGCTGTGCCTCCGGGGGGCCAAGACTTCTTGAACCTACGTGTTTTTCTAACATCATAATTGTTTTATGTGATTATATTGTTTAGAATGTCGAGTATATAATTTTGGATTATCTATTTAATTATTTGTATTTTTCAAATGACACAATTATCGAAAGAAAATATATATTTTATAATTTGATAACGTATGTTTCTACATACCTGTTGATTTACGATAAGTTAATGACCGTAACTCGACAGTCTTCGCTCTTAAATTGGCGGTTTCATTATTCGTTTGCAAGGAAACAAGCTTTGTTAAAAGAACTTTTTCCGTTTTTATTCCTGTTTAAAAGTTTTCTGTGAGTTGTTATTTTTCTTTTTGTTCTTAATAATATGGATTAAATGTTGAGTTGCAACTGGAAGGCATGGCGCAGCTGCAGTAGAGAAACGCCCACGCTTCTGCAAATCGGGAGCGTTACCTTAAAACAGCGGCAGGATCTATCAGTTGTGTTCAGCTGAAGATTTCACTCATTGAGTTGTGAGCACCAAACTGTAAAGCTTGAGGTGAAAGTCTACAGGCTAAGCAACAGCACCTGAAACTTCAGATAAACTCCATTCCTCCGCCTGCTTTCTCTCCTTTCGATCACCAGTTCTTCAACAGGTCTTGCAGAACATCTGAACAGATCAGGTATGTAGGCCCTACACTTTAACTCATATATATATATTGTAACAATTGTCTAATGTCTAACACCTGTTCACTAGCTACTCTCGAGAAACAAATTATGTAAAAATATTTTGTTGTTGTTGCTTTTTTCTCGCAGGTCGAACTTTTTACTAAACAATAATATAAAATGGAAAGAGAAATTCTGTAATATTTAAAACAGATAAAATTAAATTAAAAAAAAGAGATTTATTAAGCGTTTCGGAAGAAAAGACAAATAAAAAACGACTTATTATTCATATATGATAAGTTTTGAAACTAAAGGAAACACACGAGAAAGCATAGTTGAAATATTAAATCACACACCATAAACATATCAACCATTACACGATAACAAACATTATCTAAACATAATCTACAAACATCCTAACGCGGCCTTGGAACAAATATTTATCTGGAAAAAGCACTGCTAAAATATATTAATATTTTAATTTTATGACAAAGAAAGTTGTTAGATTCTTCAACTGAATTATATGTCTTGAACGATTAGTATCTGTGTTCCAAATTGTTATTTAATGTCCTACAATTGATATGACATTTCCAACCTCGTCATATTTAAACTACCAGTACATTCCAGCTGCTACATCTGCTACTGTTGTCTATAGGTTTATTCCAATTAATCACAAATAAGAGTTGTTCTGTGAAATTTTTGGGACTTGAGAATCAACTTTATATTATATTACAGAAACTTATTACATAACATTGGCTTGATTTGACAATTTGACTTGTTAAAAAAACAGTTTCTTGTTCTTATTACTGATCCTAGAGGGGGTTTTCATTGATTGTTATGTTGCCATCTTATGAAATAGTTGTTATTTGTTTCGTGACTATTAATTAACTTATAGTTTTAAACGTAAGTATTACCTTGTTTTATTTAAACGATATTTTATTATCTGTAAGACACTCAATCACTTAGGTTATTCAAGTTAAATTGTTTAACTCAAACCTGGTTGCTCTTCTTCAATTGTGACCTTTGTGAATGTAGTGAACAATCAAGTCAATCAAAATTATTTCTTAGGTTTTGTTGTTTTCTATGATCCAAAAAATATTTGTTTGAAAAGTTTTAAGCGAAAGAATGTAATTAAAGCTGAATATATTTCATATAGATTGTAGATGACGTTTCGATCTGTTAATGTAGATTTCATGTTTTACACGCAAAGAAAGATTAATAAGAACTCCTTTTGATGATGGTTTAGATAATCGGAATTTCAAGAATTAAAGATGAGTATAAATCCTTATTGCTAATTAAGAGCAATTGATTGGATGAAAGTTCTGGAGACTTCCAAAAGTGGAGATGGGGTACAGACCAATGTCAACTTCATTTATGTTTACTCTCACTTTCCAGTCTAAAATGTTTAATGTATGTGATAGAGATATTACTGCCACCAATCTTACACGTAAAATACCTTCCAGTCTAAAACGTTTAATGTATGTGATAGAGATATTACTGCCACCAATCTTACACGTAAAATACCTTCCAGTCTAAAACGTTTAATGTATTTAATAGAGATATTTCTGACACCCGTCTTGCTCGTAAAATACCTTCCAGTCTACATGTTTAATGTATCAGACAGAGATGTTTCTGACACCAGTCATACACGTCAACTTCGTCTTTGGTAATGTTTATAAGTATGTTCTAATTTTATGTTTCTGTATACAAATCTAACATTTGCACTGTAAAAAAGCAAAAGTCGTGTAGTAAATTAATACAAACATTATGTTATTTCACACAAAATAAATCGTGTTTCTCAATCACAAACTTGTGTGAACTATAATACAAGTGTTGTGGCAATATAAATAGAGAATATGTTTGTGTTTCTAACGACACAAATGACCCAACACAAACTGTGTTTATTTAAATACATGGTTATGTTGTGAAGTCACATAATTGTTATTTGAACGTAGATAACATAAATATTGTGCATCAATCAGCAAATGTTTGTTATGTCTTTTTAGCTCACAAAGACGCGTTGTTTTTAGTCCCCGTTCAAACACCAGGCAAAGTGTGTTCTTTGTGATGGGTTTACTATTATATATTTATTTTAATATGGATGTTTGTTAAATCAAATTTAAATTTAGAAATGTACATAACATACACTGTTAAATCTGTATTGCGAAATTCCCGCCTATTCTCTAAAGTTGTAGAAGTGTAAGAATCAACAATATACGCAATTTGAATTTTCGAGAAACTCACCACACGCATATAAGTATAACCAACGCGACGCGCCGAAAAACAGTATCTATTATTGGTTTGCTATAGTTGGTGTACTATAAACTTTGGAAGCTATAACTGTGATTGTTAAAACGCTTATTAATCGGGAAACTTAATATATTTGATCAGGAACATTTATAAATTTCGAACATTACAAACCATTTAACTTTAGTGGATTCACATCGGACATTAGTACTTTTACGAAAACATTACCTAACTTCAATGGTGGAAACTCGGCGAAGAACACACAGCTAGCTAGCTCCCTATTAAGTGAATTGTATCTACGTCCACTCGAAATTAACTCGCTCATCGTGAACCCTCGATAAGACTCTCTAGTTCCAGACTAGAAAGAAGACTTTGTATTACTTGTAAGTTTGTAAAACTTTTGTATATAAAACATTGTTTGTAATAACTGTTATTGTACATGATATTATTGTTTGTGTATTGAAATATATTTGTATTAAAAAAGAAAACAGTGTGTATCAATCTTGTTGGCAGATATCATAAACTGGAGATATATCGGCATTTATTTAACTACTAAATTTAAATTATCATTTAGCTCGATTTCAGACTATTCGAAATTGTAATATGTAACATAATAAATTGGGGGCTTGTCCGGGATCTGAATCCGAGACAAAATTCAATCTAAATTAAATTTTATATTATAATTCAATTTATATCTATCAATGCCAACAAGATTTGATCATGTCTGATCATCAAGACTTTCTTGAATCACCCTCCCTCGAACAACTAGAAAGATATAACAAAAATGATTTGCTCGAAATTGCCAAAGTTTTAGAAGTAGAAGTTAAAGAATTAATGAGAAAAAATGAACTAAAAAGCTTATTATCGAAATACTAGTCGATGATGACTTGTTGCCTGAGGAAGCATTAGAGGAGTACTCTTGAGTCCCCACTAGCCAATTGGGGTTGAGTGATAAAGATAAGTTAGAGATCCAGCTAAAACTCAGACACATCGAGCTTGAACAAGCTCGTCTCGAAGCTGAAAAGAGAAAATAAATGCCTCGAGGCCAAACAAGCTTGTATCAAAGCCGAGAAAGAGCAAGCTCATATCGAAGCCGAGAAAGAACAAGCGCGTATTGAAGCCGAAAAAGAGCAAGGTCGTATTGAAGCCGAGAAAGAGAAAGAACAAGCTCGTATCGAAGCCGAGAAAGAATAAGCTCATATTGAAATTGAACGAAAAAATAAACGTCTCGAGGCCAAACAAGCTCGTACCGAAACTGAAAAAGAAAATAAACATCTCGAGACCATAAAAGCTCGTATTGAAGCCGAAAATTAAATTAGACTGAAAGAAATGGAAATTACACTCAACTCCTATCGACCAAGGAAAATGACAACTTTGAACTTAATTGATATGCTAAAGTACCACCATTTAATGAAATTGAAGTTCATAAATATTTCCAATATTCTGAGAAGATTGACAAAAACCATAGAATGGCCCACCGAAAAATGGTCATTATTATTATTACAAAGGTTTTTACTAGTAAAGCACAAGAAGCTTATGCCACTATCTCTCTCTAGAAATTTTGAACATTACAAACCATTTAACTTTAGTGGATTCACATCGGACATTAGTACTTTTACGAAAACATTACCTAACTTCAACGGTGGAAAACTCGGCGAAGGACATAGAGCTAGCTAGCTCCCTATTAAGTGAATTGTATCTACGTCTACTCGAAATTAACTCGCTCGTCGTAAACCCTCGATAATACATCAAGGAAGTTTCAGACTAGAAAGAAGACTTTATATTACTTGTAACTTTGTAAAACTTTTGTATATAAAACATTGTTTGTAATAACTATTTGTAATAACTGTTATTGTAAATGATATTATTGTTTGTGTATTGAAATATATTTGTATTAAAAAATAAAATATCAGCATTTATTTAACTACTAAATTTGAATTATCATTTAGCTCGGTTTCAGACCATTCGAAATTGTAATACGTAACATAGCGTGTCTCATTAGCAGTCCAAAAATGATTTATATGATCTAGTACTAAAGAAAGTTCCTTGAGATTAAAAAATATACTGTTCATTTTATGATAATTTATATAGAATATTGTTTCAAATCTTTATAAGTAACAAACTGTAACCAAACATTCTGTTTTATTATAACTGTTCTATTTTTTTCAAAAATTAATACAAAAATGTATGAGAATATTTCATATATATATTTGAAATAATTATTGCTTCTATTTAAAATATGTCCCCTGGTGGGTTAGCGGTAAATATGCAGGGTTCGGTCCCCTCACGGTAAACGGAGCGCAGTTTGCCCATTGTGCAGCTTTGCATTCAAGTAGTCCCTCGGTGGGACAGCGGTAAGTCTTCGGATTTACAACGCTAAAATCAAAGGTTCGATTCCCCTCGGTGGACACAGCAGATAGCCCGATGTGGCTTTGCTATAATAAAAACACACAAAAAACACGCATTAAAATAACAACAACAACAATTATTTAAAGTGGGTTAGCTTCGCGTTGCAGCTCTGGATTTCGAATTTGTTGGGGTGGGCTCGAATCTGTGCGATACCAAAAAAACATTCTCGCACTCTAAGCTGTAAGTACGTTATAATAGTGACAGCCAATCAATCAGCGTGGATGGTGGATGATGGAGTATCAACTGTCTTCCGTTCTTCATTTCTTCAAAATTACAAATGGCAGCAGAAAGTCTTAGAAGCTTTGCCGTAAGTACAAATACTATTTAAAGTGAAGTCACAGAACCATATTGAATAAACTTG